ACTTTTGTAATACCACAAAAGTAGGTCAGAAAATTCCTCGAGTCGACCCTGGGACACCAGGCAGCCACAGTCAACAGCCAAGTGTTCCAGGCCTGTCTGTCCTAAGAGCACGTAAGACAGCTGGGGCTGGGTACTTCCTTGCATATTTTAAAAACTGCTTTCCCTGGGGCCAGCAGATGGCATAGCAGTTATGTCAGTGGAGTCCCCCATGGCTGACTGTGGTTTGAGTCCGGGACCCAGTGGATTGAAAATCATGCCAGGCACGTGTGTGTGTGTGTGTGTGTGTGTGTGCACACCCAAGGTCCCAGGAAGAGAATGGAGGAGAAGAGATTGTAGAATCCCTTCTCATCACTCCCCTGGGGGGTGGGGTGATTTCTCACTGTCCCTCTCACTGTCTCTGTCTCTCTCTCTCCCTGTTGAGTGCAGCCTCCCTAAGGCAAACCAAACAAACAAACAAAGATTCTTTTAAAAGCTTGCTTTTCCTGACACATGGACACCCACTCAGTTACATACTGAAGCCCAGGTCTCTACTCCCAGCTGTCTGGTAACCCCCCGGGGCCAGGCTCTCGAGGACTGCATGTATGTCTGCTGTTCTGCTTCGCGACAGCTGGGGCCTCCTCTGCGGGAAGCTGCAGTGGCACGCAGGGCCACCACTCCGTGACATGGGAGCACATGCGGAGGTCCCAGGCCTCCTGAGGTCTCTTGTAGGTGGGGGCGTGCGTGTCTGTGAGGCCGGCCCTCTTGGAAGTGGCCCCCTCTCTTTTTTCTCTCACTCAGAAGAAATAAACTTTCAAAAATTCTTTGAAAATCACAGCACAGCTTGAGTTTACTCCTTTCCAGAATCCTACAGGATGGAGGACTAGAGGAAGGGAATTGTGGCATGACCAGATCATTCTTTATCTCTGAATTTTTCTTACTTGAATAACTCTATTAAAGTAACACGATTTTTTTGTTTGTTGACTTTGGATGTTCCCGTGTGTGTGTATGTGTATGTGTGTGTGTCTGTTTGGAGATATACACACACACACACTATATATATTATATATATTACATATATATAATATATATTATATATATATTATATATATTACATATATATAATATATATTATATATATATTATATGTGTATACATAGTAATCTACATACATGGTAATATATATATTAGTTTTTGCTATAGAGTATGTGTCCTTGCTCTGGAGAGGGATGGAGAAAGAGCCAAAGTGAAAAATCACCCTCTGAAAGGATGGTTACATCTCAGTCTCTTCTCCATTCTCCTCTGGATATTTTGTATGTGCATGCACATGTACCCAGTGTAATTTTTCAGCCACCGAATCTGGGACTCAAACTATTCAGGCAGTTATGCAGAATACAGTGTCAGTGCGCGGGAGCTAAGGGCTTGCTGGAGCCCGGGCTAGCCAGTGGAAGGTGAGTGGGGGACAGATGGCCATGTGGCGCCCACTCTGCTCCTTCCTGGGTGGCCTGCTCCCCCCGGATCCTGCAGCCCAGGAACGCCGTGGGTCATGGCCGGTGCTTACAGAGCACAGCAGCCCTAGCACGAGCACCGAGAATATCAGCTCTTAGCCAGTATTCCCCAAATCGGGATGTTTCCAAGAAGGGGTTTATGTGAGGAAACCGGAAGGCAGCTGTCAGCGGACTTTCACTGAGGAAACGCTGACCCTGCAATCGTACATAAAACCATGTAAAACACTAACAACCCGACCTCAACTTTTGTAATACCACAAAAGTAGGTCAGAAAATTCCTCGAGTCGACCCTGGGACACCAGGCAGCCACAGTCAACAGCCAAGTGTTCCAGGCCTGTCTGTCCTAAGAGCACGTAAGACAGCTGGGGCTGGGTACTTCCTTGCATATTTTAAAAACTGCTTTCCCTGGGGCCAGCAGATGGCATAGCAGTTACGTCAGTGGAGTCCCCCATGGCTGACTGTGGTTTGAGTCCGGGACCCAGTGGATTGAAAATCATGCCAGGCACGTGTGTGTGTGTGTGTGTGTGTGTGTGCACACCCAAGGTCCCAGGAAGAGAATGGAGGAGAAGAGATTGTAGAATCCCTTCTCATCACTCCCCTGGGGGGTGGGGTGATTTCTCACTGTCCCTCTCACTGTCTCTGTCTCTCTCTCTCCCTGTTGAGTGCAGCCTCCCTAAGGCAAACCAAACAAACAAACAAAGATTCTTTTAAAAGCTTGCTTTTCCTGACACATGGACACCCACTCAGTTACATACTGAAGCCCAGGTCTCTACTCCCAGCTGTCTGGTAACCCCCCGGGGCCAGGCTCTCGAGGACTGCATGTATGTCTGCTGTTCTGCTTCACGACAGCTGTGGCCTCCTCTGCGGGAAGCTGCAGTGGCACGCAGGGCCACCACTCCGTGACATGGGAGCACATGCGGAGGTCCCAGGCCTCCTGAGGTCTCTTGTAGGTGGGGGCGTGCGTGTCTGTGAGGCCGGCCCTCTTGGAAGTGGCCCCCTCTCTTTTTTCTCTCACTCAGAAGAAATAAACTTTCAAAAATTCTTTGAAAATCACAGCACAGCTTGAGTTTACTCCTTTCGCACAAGTGGATTTTCGCATGGTCTGGCTTGAGCTCTGTTTCTGTAACTAGGTAGGGTCCTTCCAGAGGCAAAGCTGCTCTCCAGGCCACTGGGCTATGTGACTTGTACTGAGAATGGAAGTGCTAGGTAAGTCGACGCACCTTCCCAAGTGGAAATGGGAGTAGCTTATCCCTTTCTGGCATTTGTTGAAAGAAACATGTGTTAAAAGTGTCACCCAGCCCTGGAACATCTCCGTCTGTGACAGACTTCCCCGGACAGTAAACACGTGCCATGCTGCCTGGACTCTACACACGGGCGTGGCCCATCGCTTGGTGAGGGGGTGAGGTGCTTCGCACTTCCCGTCTGCCCTGGGAGGGCCGCACCTGCCATCCCTCTGGCACTGCGGTGCAAGCTCACCCTCCTGCAGGGGTGCACCTGCACTGTTCTGCCCACCTGCATCTCTTTGAAAGGCTGCAGCTGAGGGGAGAGACAGTAGTTCATGTGTGGATGGGATAAAAACTTGACAGGATTCAAACTCATGGTCTTAGCCTTTGGAAATGAAAATGCTCTCTCACCATCCGAGGACGAGTTCTTAACCTGAGATGTGACTGAGCATGTTCCTGGGCTCACGAGGACCCAGAGCACCTGGCTAAATGGAAGACTCGATTGAAACCTGGGCGTGGGTAGGAACTTGGCTCTCCTCCTGGGAGGTGACGGGCACTTCCTGGGAGAGCTGAAAGGCAACTTAGACTTGCAGCCCTCTGGACCAAGAATAGGAACATCTGTGACATATCACTTCCGGAAACTGTGACTTCGTGGTGTGACACTGTACAAACTTTACCCAGTCTGCTTGCTGAAGGTGGTCGGGCATGAAAAGAACCAACTACAGAGCATGGCTAGCTTGGGAACGGTATCGCTTGTCCTTCTGTTGTTTCCTAACGTCCTTCTTTCTGACACCTACGGACTGTGGGGCCGTCAGCATTAAATCTGGTCCCCAATGATCTGATCCGTAATCTGTGACTACGATCGCTTACGTCTCCTGGTGTCGCTGAGGGGCTATAATTTGTGTGCCTGGACTTTATTAAGAACTCCAAAATAATGGTGCTACTCCTGTCGTATCAGCATTTTCGTTATTATCGGCATGATTCTACTAGTAAATATAAAAATAGTTAGCATCTGTGAACCTGCAAATAAACGTGCATCGGTGAGTTAGGACACTCTTCCCTTGGCTAGTAGAAGCATCAGTGATGTTTGAACAACTTCCGAAGGACATGGGGGGTGCACTTGCACCTTTGCCCTCAACATCCTCAGGACAATGTATTGATGCAGAAGGATGCCCATTTTCTGAAATGTCTGGGGAATTAATGTCAGCTAGATGGATTACCTCTCAAGTTTAACCACGATGACTCAAAGACTTTTTCCTGATATTAGAAGCCACACGCAATTCTCATGGATCAGCAAATAGAACTGACCAGCTCCAGAAAACAAAAGAACGTTAAAGAAGATTATAATTTACAGATAAACCAGGAGGCTTTAAACCTTATTCTAAACATAGAAAAGCCAGCAAATTGACTTAAACACGTTCAGATTGGAATACAACTGTTTCACTCACGGACCCTTAGGCGACTCTAAGCCAAGATTACTGGAGAGGAGCTGGTTCCGCTCTGAGGTCTGTGCCCGCTCGGCCAGTGTGCTCTGCCGTCTCCTCTGTTAATAACTATTGCCGTTACTATAATTCTGTACACAGTAAATATTTATCATCCCAGAATCATGAATCATAAAGGCAGCCTCATTGCCTCCTGTCTAAATGATACTTATTTCAAATAACAAATTGTTTAGTATATTTTGATTCCTTAAAAGCTGCATTCAGAAAAAACTGTATATTTAATAAAACATATGTACACTAGATTTCATGTTTTACTAAATCAGTCTTTAAATATTAAAGTTTTTTATAAATGTTTGAGGTTTTCTGCATGTCTCTCAGCTTCAACCTTATGCACAATGTGGCCCGTGACATTTCTTTTCTTTTTTGAGAGGTTTTTGCTATAGGGTGCGTGTGCTCGCCAGACAGACAGAGAGACAGAGAAATAGAAGGCAAGAAATCACCCCCCAGGGGGGATGGCCATGCCGCAATCCCTGCTCCTCCATTCTCCTCTCGGGATCTTGGGCATGCACCCACACGTGCCCGGCGCGAGTTTAAGCCGCAGGGTCAGGACTCCAACTGCGGTTGACTACATGGGAGTCCAGCGACATAGCCATTACGCTAACTGCTGATCCCCAGGCCCAGTTTTTTTAAACATTTTCCCAAGAACTTTTGAAGACCCATGGCACACACGCACATGCACACACACACACACACACACACACACACACACACACACCCTATGTTCTATGCGAATGAAGACACAGCCTTTGCAGCCAGGAGAGAGGCACATTTGGGCTGCCCCTGCCCGCTACCTGCAGTGGGGCGGTCGCTGGCCTCCGAGGGGCTGCTGTCCTCAGGCCTGTCGTCTCGGTCTTCTTTGCAGTCCACGCTGGGGCTGTAGTGGCGCGGCTTCATTAGCAGGGACTTCCTCTTGTTGACCGGGACGCCCAGCGCGTGCTCCTCCGCGGCCCTCTTCCTGGCCATGGCGCAGCCGCAGGCGGCACTGCACGAGCGGGCAAAGAGAACACGTGAAGGGAGCTCCCCGCGAGTGTAACCCGAAGCCTCGGGATCCTTGGGCCTACAGGTTTAGGGTTAGTTGTTGGCACTAACGAAAACAGCCCATCCATGGAATCCATTGAACTGTGTGGTTTCTATTTTACTGCTTATCAGAAGAGGTTTTTTTTTTATCATCCTTAATCCTGAGTAAGCGTATGTTAATCTATGCTTTGGTTGGCACGGTACTAAATGCCCAGGGAGGGATGAAACAAGATTTGCACTGGTTTGCTAATCCTAAGAAACAGCTAATGTGAAAAATATACCACCATATACAAAAGTGTGTCCAGTATGGATAAATCACACGGTTTTTCAAATAGTCGTTCGCTAGCGAGACTGCTTATCTCTGCTGCAGTCGTGTCTCTGTGAGCGGGTCCCGCACATCCCCGGCTTTGAAAAGGCCACCACGAGCGAAGCGACCGGCTAGGGACCTCCCGTCCACACCTCGCCAATCACAAAGGAAAGTGATGCCGCGTGCCATTCTGCCTTCAGATTCCCACCCATCTGGCTCCAGAACAAACACAAGGAAGAAGATTGGGTTTCACCAGAGTGGACGACTGTACCCTCACTCCTGCTCTCATACGCTGTACTTGGAAATGCTCCTGAGGGTGGCCTTTCAAAACCGATTTCCTACATAGACCTCATCCCGAATTAATCACTCTCTGTGTGAAGTTTAGACAAACATTTCCTTGGCTGGATCCATGCAGACTAGAGGGTTTAGCCAACAGGGAGTCTAGTCTGTGAGATAGTGACCAAACGCTCTTTGAAGAAAAACGCCAGGGACCGTAGATGAAAAAGTCCACAGAAGGGACGCCTAGACTCAGAGTATCAAGGTATTACTTACCCCATCTCTAAAAGATTGAATTCTGAGTCGTGTGATTAAACCAAGGCTTTAAATTGTTCTCCCATAAACATCAATGCAAAGAGATGGCCCGGTGATGACCACAATTCAGTTATAGTTATAACCAAATTCTTGAACTTAGAAGAGTAGATCAAAAAGCTTCCAAGGGGAAAAAAATTGTCCTCCTTTCCACGAAAAAAGGAGGAGAAGAAGAAGGAGAAGAAGAAAAAGATGGTTCTGGAAGGAGATATTTCAAGTTAGAAATATCTCAAGAAAGATTAAAAAATGGAGAATTAAGAAATTCTGATGGGAAGAGTGAAGTTCCTAAATCAAATAATAAACGTTCTCCACATTTTTCTGATGGGTTCAAATTTAAAGTGACCCTGTGTTTGGGAGTCTCAAAAAGTTCCTGGAAAATGGAATTAAAGTGCAAGTTTATTTAGTGAAGAAAAAAAAAATGAAGCCCTTGTATAATTTTTTTCATAATATGCAGTTTCTATGAACTTTTGGAATAGCCTCCTCTCTGCTCCCACACGAAGATGGAGCAGCAGAGCATACAGCTAGACAGCTCTAACAGCCCGAACCAGCTTTAAGGAAGGCTGTGCACAAAGAGAAGGTCTCATGGGCGGAATCCACTGGTCTGTCATGTACCAAGAGCACACAGACAAATGGAACCCCTGACACGCACCTTCTTGGTCTAGGGAGGGCAGGGGGCGGGCAGAAGAAACTTGCCAAAGGGTTAAAGTGCATGTACATGTGGACAGGCAAGAAGTTCCCTAAACTAGCCCAGGTCTCCTAAAGCCAAGGAGTCCCCATAAAAACTGCTCAGAGAAGAAACAAGCGAGATCGCGAAGCTGTTATCATGAGCCAAGATTTGTAGGAAATGGTTGCTGCTCCTATGTCATTGAGAAGTTAGAGCAGGGACAGAAAGCCGATTTCCAGAACATAGTGAATATGGGTATTGGGAAAGAATCAAACCAAGTGTCTTTACTTTTTCTTTCTTTCTTTCTTTCTTTCTTTCTTTCTTTCTTTCTTTCTTTCTTTCTTTCTTTCTTTCTTTTTTTTTTTTAAGATAGGGCACATGCATTTGCCAGAGAGAGAAACAGAGAAGGAAAGTGAGAAATCACCCCCAGTGAGAATGGTCCCACCATCCCTTCTCTTCCATTCTCCTCTTGGGAGCACTTAGCCACTGGGTCTGGGACTTGAACCGTGGTATGCCATGTGGGAACCCAGCACCTTATCCACCACCCCACTGCTGGCCCCCTACCAAAGTGTCTTAAAGTGAAGATTTGTTAGGATTCTAGTTTCCCTTCTTTTGCATAAATACCCAGAAGCAGGACCGCCAGATAATTGTATTTTTATTTTTAAGAAAGCGCCTGTTGTGTGTATTCGTGGCAGTACTATTCACAACAGCCGAGACGTGGAAACACCCTTTGTGTCCACGGACAGGGGGATGATTAAAGCAGATGTGGTGCACGCAGTGGGGTGAGCAGCACTCAGTCTTGGGGGGAAGGAGAGCCTGCAATACTCAACAACTGCGCGAGCTCTGAGGGCGTTCTGAGTGGAATCAACCAGGCACGGAAAGACCGATACCACGTGATTCCACAGACAGGAGAAGTCTAAAGCAATGAAAAGGAAGAGTGGAACAGTGGTTGCTGGGGGCTGGGGAGGGGCACAGGAGGAGTCGCTAATCAGTAGGCTTGAAATTCCAGGCAGGCTCCACGCCTACTCCAGAGATCTCTGCGGGATCGTACCTACTGATGGCGAGGCTGTGTTGCACACTGAAAACGTCGTCAGGAGGGTAGAGAGTAGCTCTCATGTTAAACCTTACTACAATCAACTATAAAGAAGTAGGAGGAAGAGAAGGAAACGGAGGAGAAAAGTAAAAGGAGGAGGCAGGAGGAAGAGGAGGGTGAGAGGGAGTGGGGGGAAGGAGGGAGGAGAAGGAGAAGGTTACTTGTGAGCAGCAGGAAATACTGACTAATAAACCCTGGGGTGGTCGGGATGGTTAGCAACCAACTGCTCAGTCAGGAAAACGTCATTTCTTTCTTTGAGAGTGGAGGTGATGAATGGGGCTAAACATATGTTCTGTATAAAACCTTACAAATTTTATCTTAATATCATCATCCAGTTTGCTTATAAAGACAAGTTAACATTCCCAAAATCACATAACTAGGGACAGGTGGGGCTGATTTTTTTTTTTTTTAAGAAATTTTTGCTATATGCACGTGCACTTTCTGGAGAGACAGAGAGACAGAAAGCAAGAGATCACCCCCTGGAGGGATGGCCACACTGCATTTCCTTTTCCTTCATTCTCCTCTCAAAATCTTGGGCACGCACACACAGCGTCTGGTGTGAGTTTTTGTTGTTGTTGTTGTTATGTTTTTGGAGAAGTTTTTGCTATAGGACTCGTGCACTTGCCAGAAAGACAGAGAGAGTCAGAGAGACAGAAAGGGAGAAATCACCCCCATGGGGAATGGCCGCACCACAATCCCTTCTCCTCCATTCTCCTCTCGGGATCTTGGGCACACACGCACATGAATTTAAGCCACCAGGTCCAGGACTCAAACCGTGGTCAACTACATGGGAGTCCAGCGACATAGCCATTATGCCATCTGCTGGTCCCATGAGTTTTAAGCCACTGGGTCTGGTACTCGAACTCCAGTCGACTACATGGGAGTCAGCGATGTAACCATCATGCCATCTGCTAGTCCCTGGGCCTGATATTTGAATCCAAGCCTACTGAGCCCCAAAGGTCATGGCCTCTTCTCTGTGTTGCCAGATGAGACTAACAGAGTTGGGTCATTTGTGTACAAGTCGGATAACTCACTGAAATAAAACAGCGACCTCTTCAACTGGAAGAAAGATGCCTGCCATAGCGCCATGCCCAGTGCTTTCCATGGGAATATGCAGGACATCCCTGAGTCTGAAGATGACACTGAGCTGCAGCGATCAGAAACATATAAATACGATGAGCCCCCCGCCCCCAAAGTCCATGGACTGCAGCAGTAGAACGAAGCTACTGAGATGACAAGTGATAGTGAAAAGTAAGTTCAGTCTCTGGGTCCAAATGTTAACTGTAGAAATGTAGGATGAAGGGGATACGTAAGGTCTTATCAAAAGAACAAGTTTAGCTTGAAATAACTTTTTTTTTAGAGGTTTTTGCTATAGAGCATGCGCACTCACCAGAGAGACAGAGAGAGACAGAGTGACAGAAAGCAAGAAATCACCCCCCAGAGGGGATGGCCATGTCGCAATTCCTTCTCCTCCATTCTTCTCTCAGGATCTTGGGCACGCACACACATGCACCCAGTATGAGTTTAAGCCACCGGGTCCAGGACTCGAACCATGGCCGACTACATAGGAGTCTAGCGACATAGCCATTATGCTCACTACTGGTCCCTGAAATAACTTTCTTAAGAGATTTTTGGTATAGGGTGTGTGCACTCACTGAAGAGACAGAGAGAGACAGAGAGACAGAAAGCAAGAAATCACCGCCCAGGTAGGATGGCCGTGCTTCAATCCCTTCTCCGCCATTCTCCTCTTGGGATTTTGGGCACGCATGCACACGTGCCTGGCATGAGGGTTAAGTTGCCAGGTCCTGGAATTGAACCGCAGTTGACTATGTGGAAGTCCAGCAGCGTAACTACTATGCCATCAGCTGGTCCCTGAAATAAATTTTTGTATGTGGTAGTAGAGATATGAACTAGCTTTGGCAATACTAACCACATCGTCTGAAATAAATAGCTGAGTCTTTGGGAACCTTCAGTCCCCGTTTCTTTATCCCTAGGAGTGGGTTCATGACTGTATGACACGTGTTTTGTGTATAGTAGCGCTGCGCCTATCCTGGTAGTGACGAAGATGGAGGCCCTGGTAAGGCGAAGACGGAGTTCGAGCTGCTTGGGCGCCCTGCTCAGTGCTCAGCCCCGAATGTCGCTGTCGGTGTGCACACCCCGACCTCTCTCCCTGCACACCACCCAGATTGACGCCTGCGTGGATGTCTGCAAGCGCATTCTCCGTTTTTACACGATATTTATATTTACATAAATCACACCGGATTTGCATGAGACATTTGCTTTAAATCTCGCATTTTTGTGCATTTCTCTGAA